GTTTTTCAAAGATTTTTGCTATACTGTTGATAATTGAGATCGGTCTATAATTATTAATGTCTGTGGTGTCACCTCCTTTATGACGAGGGGTTACTCTGGCACATTTCCATGATGAAGGTGTTTCACAAGTTGCAAGAGATAAATCAAATAAGTCAGCCAGTGGAAATGACACAACATGAGATATACATACGGGACAGACAAACATACAGATTACTGTTAATTTATTATGCTGATCTGTTCTGTACGACATCTATTGCACGTCTGTCCGTCCTGGAAGAGGGATCCCTCCTCAGTTGCTCTTCCTGAGGTTTCTACCATTTTTTTCCCCCGGTAAAGGTTTTTTTTGGGGGAGTTTTTCCTTATCCGCTGTGAGGGTCCTAAGGACAGAGGGATGTCGTATGCTGTAAAGCCCTGTGAGGCAAATTGTGATTTGTGATATTGGGCTTTATAAATAAAATTGATTGATTGATTGATGAGAGGCATATTTAAAGAACTTAATCTTCAGACCATCTGGACCATCTTATCAATAACCCGCTGAACATCAGTTGGAGAGATAGTTTTGAAAGAGAAGGAGCTGCCACACCTATTCTGAGTCGAGGTAAGATCAGAATGAGAATTACAAGAAAGAGAGCTGCCAATTGTAGAAAAGTGCTGACTAAATGCCTCTGCAATTAATAAAGGTTCGCTGACAGTTTCATTGTTTAGTCTAATATAAGTAGTAGGGCTTTTTGTGGATTTATTGGTTATACTATTGATTATCTTCCAAAATTTCTTTGGATTCTTAAAATCAGTTGATAAACAGTCCTTATAGTAATTTGCTTTAGCATTACTAGTATTGGTTTTGCATTTATTCCTTAACTCTTTGTAAGCATTCCAGTCAGTAGGGTCCTTTGTTTTGCGGTATTTTTTTCTATGCCTTGTCTCTTTGTTTGAATAAATGTATGAGATCTCCTTTGATCCAAGGTAGATGTCGACCCTTGACTTTAATTGATATCCAAGGAGCATGCTTGTTAATTATCTCAGCAAACTCAGTATAGAAGAAATTCCAGGCATCTTCAACAGATGGAATTAATTGAAATCTCTCTCAGTTTATATTTAATATATCTTGGATAAAGTGTTCAGGGTTAATGTTATTAGAATTTCTTATTTTACTCAATTTAGGAGGAAGATGAGGCACTTTGATTTTCCAGATACAAAAAACAATAGAGTGGTCACTGAAAGAGTCAGGTAAAACCCCAGATTGTAAAATTCTGCCAGGATGGGAAACTAAAATCCAGTCAAGCAGAGAAGAAGAACTGGGACCGACTCTGGTGGGTTCAGTTGTGAGTTGAGTTAAATTTATGCTGTTAAAGAGATTGCGATCTTTTTGAGAGGAGCGATCTAGCCAATTGGAATTGAAGTAACCTAATATGATTTTTTCACTGGTGCAGTCTAAAGAATTAATGGTGGACAGGATACATTCAGTAGTTTCAGCAGGAGCAGATGGATGATACACAGTTGTATTTATCTCTGGCTTCATAGATAAATACACAGTTGTATTTATCTATGAAGCCAGAAGAAAGTAATCAATTAACTAAACTTCATAATTGCCTTAAAGACATAAAATCCTGGATGAGCACCAATTTGCTGATGTTAAATTCAGACAAAACTGAAGTTATTGTTCTTGGCCCCAAACAACTCAGAGACTCTTTATCTGATGACATAGTTTCTCTAGATGGCATTGCTCTGGCCTCTAGCACTACCGTAAGAAACCTCGGAGTAATATTTGATCAAGATTTGTCTTTTAATTCTCATTTAAAACAAACCTCA